GACACAGAGCCACTCGTAACATCACGACTCTTAGGAAGACGAAATCGCCGAAACATCAGCCATCCACCAACAACACCAGCAACAACGACAGCGACAACGAAGACCTATAGCAACTTCGCATCAGCTAAAGAAGATCAATTTATAAGATCATATAAATAAATATATCAACTATCTATACCGAGGTTTACAGAAAGTTGGTCTTTTGAGTTATTAAGAAGGTGAGATCATCGAAACGTTAGCCGAATGAAGTTTTTTTTTAATCAACCGCGTGTTGGGTTAATACTGAAAAAATACATATTGGTTAGGTATACCGAGACCTAAAGAAAGTCTGCTTTTAAATTAAGTATGAGGACGTCAACAAATGAAGGAGTAGTTCTTAATTGGAGAGGTCTTTAGTTAATTTTCATATACTCACTCATCGTTGCCATTATGACTGATGCACTTCCGGCACTTAAAGGACAACACTTAGCGTACACGAGATTACTACGAAATTGGATGTTAAGGACTAATATGAGCCATATATGACGCAGAAATTTTTTTGAATCACAATAACTACATGCTTGAGCTCTCGAACAGAATGTTTCAAGTAAACTTCAGCAGAATTTGAAAGGGGCACGCATCATACAATTCTTCTAAATGTGAATCTAGCGTTGACTACTTCTCAGTAAGTGGGGAAAAACTCGACGCATAAAAAATTAATCAATAGTGATGAAAATGAAAAGAAAAAATTAGAGAGGAAATGAATGAAAATGTTTGAATAGGAAGTTTTTTGGATCGATGCTTCTATCGCACTTGGAATTTTAGTGAAATGTGACAGCTCTGCATGCCCTCTAAAAGTCATTTATTCTTCCTAACTCAAAATTTATCAGCCTTTGGATAGACATACTTTTTAAAACTTTCACTTGATAGTAACAGTTAAACGGAAGTGAAGAGTTTTTAACAAGTCTAAAGAATCAAAAGATCAGAAATCCCGCATGTCACAAGAAAAGATTTGACAGAAATGAATGTGAACTGAACTGCACACAAAGGAGCTCGACTGCTCTGGATATTAAAGTTACAAGCAGTAACTGAGGAGGAATAATTGCGACCAATTACGGTATTGGTTACTGTTTTTATGGTGTTATAAGCTGTCCTTGATGAGCTGAGACATATTTCACAGCGACGAACGTTTTGAAGGATCCCACTTTTTTCAGATACGCTTTTTTCCCGCTTACTATTTTTTAGGCAGCGAGACCATCTGCGGAGAATTCGAATGTGGTGAGTCATCTAGAATAATCCCAGTAAGAATACCTAAGTAACTTGTTGCTGAAGGACGAATTTAATTACTAAAGCTCGATCTGCAAATTCTTCAAGCGATTGAACCGGATATTCCCAAGTTAGCAAGACAACTTGACTATGAAACAATTTAAGGAGATGATAAACTGAGAGGAAGAGGAAGAGGAGGAAGAAAAGGAAGAGGGAGAGGAAGAGGAAGAGGAAAAGGAAGAGGAAAAAGAAGAGGAAGAGGGAAAGGAAGAGGAAGAGGAAGAGGAAGGAGAAGAAGACGATGATGATAATGATGAAATAATAATAATAATAAGAAGAACACCGCAATAGTTCTTATAACGTGAAGTATGTCGACAGTGTCTAAGTGAGCGTGTGAAAGCACACAACAAAATGTATATGGAGCAGACGATTACTAAAGTGATGTATGAGAAGAGCAAATAATTCCAGGACATTCATTATATGTTAAAGAAGCCTGCAGCTTGCTTCATTGCGATCTTCACTATTCCATTATTCTCCCTTAATAAGATTAAGTACTTCTGATAATGAACTTTGTCCAATTTTACTGGTTTTTATTAGCGTCGTCAGAAGTTCGAAGCACTGCCGATTCTAAGCTTTGTTGACACATTGACATGAATGGATCACACAGGCTTTTAATGGGAAGTAAAATATTAAGCCGAAAGATATATAGAGTTCCAAGAACGCGCTCCATTGTCAATGAAGTGGACCTGCATCCCTGATTTGTTCATATGCTCTATAGAAGTTTATAAGCCAATTAAGTTTCATTTCACATTAAAGAAAAAACAGAGGAAACTATGAAAACATGAAAATGTGAGACCCAACATAGAATTATAGATGTTATTGGCATTATTTGACAACGTGGTAAATTCCAATCGAATTGAGAGACCTTCAAATTTGATTAAAACGATAGCTTTTGGACTTGCTCTCTTGAGAAAACACCAATTTTGTCGCATAATGGTGCGCTTCTATGGTCTGTTCTAAGAACGCTATGCAGAAAATCCGTGTGAAAATGGAAGTAGAAAGTTTCAAGAGATGGGAGTGAAGAGATACGAGAAACCTGGACAGTTGGCCTTTGATGAAATATAGTTCCAATAGCTCGATAAAATCCGATCAGTAGGAAGAAAAAATCCGCAGCAAAGAAAATGCTATGTCAAAGATTTAGTGAAGAATAAATAACTCGTGTTTGTAATGCAACAAATTGAAGAACAGTGTTTTCACAGAACAGTTGCAGTGTTCAACTGATTTGACACTGATGCGACTCCACCCTGAGTAACTAGGCTCCCGTTCACTTCCGAGGTCGACAAATTCGTGTCAGGCATGTATAGAGAAAAGGTTCCTCCTTTTCACGAAATCCAGCGGCTGCCTTTGGTGAATACCTGAGACACTCTTGCCTCACGACTCCACGGAGAATCAATTCTGCTAGCATTCAACAACAGTTGTGAAGAAGACGAAAGGCTCAAGTAGTTGGCGAATCCACACGCGAATTCGGAGATCTTCATCAGGGATAGATTCGAACGAACGAATCATATGAAAAGAAAAGTATTCGCATAATTTCTGAATAGAGGTCATATAAATGATGAGTAATAATAAATAAAATTGCAGTACTTGAGTGGATTGATCGTTATCGTAGGCATGTTCCTCAATAATAATGAGTACTTTCGTGACTACTCGGACAGTAAAGCCACTTTTCTCTCGGCCAAACGATACCGACCGTGAGAAAAAAAACTGAGGAACACCGAGTAGACGTTTGGTACGGGAATACTCAAGAAAGTAAGCACAACCTTCGTTACATTTACTTTATGATTGTCCTATCGAACACTTCTCTATCTTAAATTTTTACAAGATTCAAAACATATAAGCAAAAAAAAACGTGAAAGAAAGTGAAAAAATCAAGAACAGCAAGCAACAATCCAGCAGTGAGACTTTTTTATTTCAGCGAACAATCTCTACCCGATGGCAGCTGCTTATCCGCGGCTTAGGAGACTCTCCGACGTTTCTTTTTTTTATAAATTGCTCTGTTGATGATCGAGGAAAGCAATGTCGATACATGTAGTTGACTTGGTGTTAGATGAGAATAGTTATGTTCTAATGTCATGGCGACAAGAACAACAATAGTTTCCGCCCTTGTAAATCACTAAAAACAACTGACTTCAAGTTTTCTTCAACGGACAGTCACAAAGAGGTGACGACTAGAACCGGCTGGTCTCTGACAGCTTGTACTTGGCTCTCATATACCTACAGACAAAGGTGGTGAATAGAAGGGCACCATTATGTTCCGAATAAGTACCGAAACGTGACGTGGATTTTCTCGCACATCATTTCATTGCTGATGAGAGTGTGGAGTAAAGAACATAGGTGTGTATAGGGAGGGCAGTGCTAGGAGACACCCTGCAGTGAGTGAATGAGTTCACTACCAAGCAATTGAGATTTAATTCAAGAAAAGCAACAGATTAAGCTGAGTGTGGAGGACAGTAAAAAACTTGGATGGGCTTAGTAATCTGCTAGAAGACAACCGTGATGTCGGTCCACAGACGAGGCACCCAACGGTCACACGGCATACATCAGTGAAGTGTTTTTCTTAGTTTTTGATCCTAACACTTTTAAAATGATGTTCCAGTATCCTCACAAAAATTTTCGATACCGATAAATCTTGAAAATTAATGGTTCCGAAGTGAAATGGCTTCTTTAGTAGTCTCGTTCATCACTATTTGATGCATCTAAGATCAACAGAAGAACAAGCAAAAAAATAACAGTAGGCCGATTCTACAAGGAATTTCTTGTAGTCTCGCTCTCCACTGTCACGGTTTCTTCATATAAGCATAAAAGTGTGATAGATCTATCTCAGGAGAGCTCAGCGCTTCATCACTTTAATGGAAATTTTGAACGAAGAGCAAGGGAATGAAAGCAAAGAAAAAATTGTTCTGCTTTATTTCCACTGAAGAGAAAATGTAAGGAAGAAGCGCTACATCAATTCGACTGCTTCAGGATGGGTTGTTCTCATGAAAACAAATAATCAACAGTGAACGACCAATGAGCAATTGTCATGTATAAAAGGGTACCGCCGAATGATGCTAATTCATTCGTGCGGTGTACACTCTACTCCGTCCAACTGACCACAGTTATGAAAACGCACATCGCACATTGCAAAAAGAAAAACAGCTATGGACACTCGACTAGAAGTATTATTGCTCTGAAAAAAATGATGACGTCGAGACATTCGCCGTCGAAAATCAGAAGCATCTATTAATAATCTCGTGTCAGCTCATCAAGGACAGTTCCTAGCACAAAATAACATCGTGTTAGCCTATAAATAGAACAAGATACTAATTATTCATACCGAGCGCAATAGAAACTGATTAACAAAGGTGAAACGTCATTAGATTAAATGTAAGGGAAAAGTTTATATGGTTAATGCTTTCATTGGTAGAGGATAGAGCCTAAAGGCTCGCACATTGATCAATTCCTAAGAGCTGCACTATGCATTCGTCTTCATCAAGCATCGTATAGGTGATTGAATGGATATTCGGCCTGTAAAATGACTTATGGAAACATATGGGTCTACAAAATCGGTGTATTACCCTCTTAAATAGGCTAAGCGCGTCTAGCGCAGTGGTCGGAGGCGCCCTCCAAAGCACATGAGATTGATCCCTGCGCCCCAGGCTCACCAAATCGTTCATCCCTCCGGAACGGCAAACTGGTACCAGACTTATCTGGGAGGATAGCAGCACTGGGTCCATTCATCGGTGGGCCACTGCGAGTCATCGCAAAAGCCAGATATGCATTCAATCACTTCCAACGATGCTTAACGAAGTCGGATGAATGGGCATCTCTCAAAAATTGATCAACGCCGACAGTTTATCCTTTATTTATAGTTTATTAAACAAGTCTACTATCAATTCTCCTACTCACGAGAGATGAAGCGTCCAGGGCGAAAGATCGAACCAAAGACCGTGTGTGTGTGTGGCACAGCACCTCTAACCCCTACGTTGCACATGCATCCTTCAAAGGTATACTATGTTGTTATAGTATTACAGTTCTAAGCAAAACCTCTGCCTAGATATATTTTTATATCAGAAGAACCCCGAGCTACTTACGAACGAGCTCTAATCACGTAAGTGGCTTCGTAGCACAAAATGGTAAGCTTTTCAGACGATTGCTTCCCGATAATGATATGAATTCGGTAATGTTGTTCTAATTCATTAGAAGGCTCAAAGGATATAAAGTGATACTAACGCAAGAAAGGACGCCGGTAGTCAAGAAAGGAAAGAACAGTTGCATGTTTTCGGCTCTTTATAATGTTAAAGCTCAAAGCATACCATAAAGAAATGAGAGGGATATCAGTTGATAAGCCATGAAATGGTGAATGAGAGAAACGCGGGAACATCTCGCCGTGGGAAAACATGTGATATGATAAATGGCAAGAGATGAAGCGGATGCTTCAACACTAATTGCTATGAAAGAAAAATGAAAGAAAAAGAGAGTGAAAATAGTGATAAGAGTTTAGAGAGATGGTAGTGGTAGAGTAAAAGAGGCGCAAGTGATGAATTGCTGAAGAGAAATAGGCGCCGAATGAGAATGCGACCAATGATCAACGAAGAATTGAACCGCTCACCTAGCAACGACCACAGTACTATTGGACACGATTTTCACCTTTTCACTTCTTCCTGTATCACCTGTAGTTCCCTTCATCGTCGAGTGGCTCGAGCGGGCGCCAGTAAATCTTCCATTTTTCCCTCTCGTCGAGCATAATATCTTTCTTCAAGACTCTCTGTGATAAACTCTGACCATCGGGTCGGTGGTCTTCCTGCAGTACGTTTGACATCCCGAGGAATCCAGTCACTAACGGCTCTTGTCCATCGGTTGTCATTCATACGCATTACTTGTCCCACCCACCTTATCCTCGACTGTTTGGCGTACAGAATGGCATCTTTGGCTTCTCGTTGTTGACGCAGATCCGAGCTTCGGATCCCATCCCTTACCTGTGTGGAACGGGACACTCCTAGCATCGTCCTTTCGACTGCGCGTTCGATAACGCTGAGTGACCTTTCATCCTGCTTACGCAGCGACCAGGTTTCTGACGCATACGTTAGGGCAGGAAGTACCGTTGAGTCAAAAAGATGGGCATGAAGTCGGGTGTTCTTTGTTCTCTTCACTACATCCTCGATGCTCTTGAAAGTTCCCCAAGCTGCTTGTTTTCTTCTGCTCAATTCTGGAGCTAAGTCGTTCAACGTATTGATTTCCCGATCTAGATAGATATAACTGGAGCATTCGGAGATTTTCGTTCCGTTGAGCTTGAATAGGGCATACGAAAC